ACGCGGATGACATTCTTTTTTTTTTATTCAACAACCGCAGATATCACTCCCGTCAGTATTACAAGAACTGGAAATATATAGCCAAATAGCGAACTTTAAAATTAATCTTTTAAAATCAGAAATGTTAAATATCTCAACTCCAGCACATACCGTTACAGCTTTGAAAGAATCGATGCCCTTTAGCTGGCAAAACCAGAAAATGCAATATCTTGGCATATTCCTTACCCCCAAGACCAGGGAATTATTTACTGTGAACTACATGCCCCTGCTGAATAATATTAGCAGGGACCTTAATAAGTGGCTTAACCATCGCCCAGGTATCTCTCTGACGGGACGAATAAATGTAATTAAAATGACAATATTACCTCGGATATTATACATATTGCAAACCATCCCGATTGTACTGCCCAGGTACTATCTACGTGCTCTTAAGTCGGTGGTTAGAAGGTATATCTGGAGAAGGTCTCCCGCCAGGATCTCCCACGGAGTTCTTATTAGGACTAGATGTCAGGGGGGATTAGCACTCCCAGATTTTAACTGCTACTACCAGGCTGTTGCACTCAATAGATTGTTGGACTTTCACGTCCACATGAAGACTAAACGATGGGTGGAATTGGAGAACTCTCTTGCTAATCAAAAGATACCCACTATTTGTTGGATACCACAGGAACACTGGAATTTACATTCTTTAACTTCTCCACTCACTTCCCAAACACTATGTATATGGAATGCACTATATAATCGGACGACAGGCCAACACAACTCACCTATAATGCCAGTAACAGGCCACACGTTTTTTCTACCTGGAATGCACAACTCTGGTTTTCTTAAATGGACTGCTCACACTAGTCTTAAGCTTTTCCAGGTGTGTGAAAAAGATAAGCCACTTTCACTTGAAATCCTTAGAGAACAATGGGGAACCTACCCTTTAGACACATGGAGACATAGGCAACTATCACATTTTATTATGTCACTCTCAAAGCCACTGCGTACCACTTCTGAGCTTACACCGCTGGAGAAACTATTTTCCTCTTTGGAACCCCCACGACATGGGATATCGCAATTATATACGATCCTATTAGATCTACAGACTAATGCGTTTCTACCATACTTAAGACAATGGGAACAGGGCTTAAAGACTACTTGGTACAATGCACAAAAAGTCTTAAATCTCAATGCCACCACATCTATTAGTACTCTGGTGACCGACACTACGTTCCGCTTTTTGGCACGTTGGTACTACACTCCAGATCGTATACATAGAATGCACTCATCTCGGTCGGAGCTATGCTGGAGACACTGCGGTGAAGTAGGCACCTACGTACACATGTGGTGGTCCTGCCCGCGAATACAACCGTTTTGGCTGCAGGTGGTAGACCAGATAGAGCAGATCACCACAGTTACATTGCCTTTGGATCGCGCGGTGTGCCTTCTTCACCTCATGGACTTTCCGACTCCGATCTTTAAGCAATCACTGATAACCCCCTTATTGAACGCTGCAAAGACTTTAATACCTCTACACTGGAACCAAACTACCATCCCAACTATAAGAGAGTGGTATAACAGAGTTGAATATTATAGACTGATGGAGGAATTGACGTCCATTCGTAGAAATACCCTCAAAAAAAAATGAAGCTACATGGCAAGCGTGGAATGAGTTCAGAAGATTATCGGGAAACCTACAAGATACCAGATAGACCTATATAGGAGAACATCATCAGCCACACGGGCACAGAAGATGGAATAAGTGTAGACCATTAGACCTAGAGTGTTAGGAAAGGTAGATCCTAGGCCCTGGGTAACGAGGATAGCAATACTAATAATAAATCTCTCTATAAATTAGAAATATGGTGAAGAAAGCCGGACGACTACCCCCCCTCCCTTCTTTTCCCCCTTCTTTTTCCTCTTTTTCTTTTTCTCTCTTCTTCTTCTTTTTTGCGTGTTTATAGTTGTATATGGTCAGTAGCATTAATATGTGAAATGACCAGATGTAAATGTTTGTATGTCGAAAGAAACAATAAAAATTGAGTAATAAAAAAAAGTACTGACACACCTCATGGGGCTGGGCACAAAAATGCTGTTTACCGGCATATATTATTTAAAAAAAAGAAAATAACTATGTAGATTTTGCAAACTAAGGCTTGTATCCCCCTAGTGGTCAAAATAGATGAGCACATGTCCAGACTGCAGACCAGAACACAGTGTGGCACAGCTATATCCAATTCTGCATACCTGGCTTTATATTATAAGAAAATGTAATAATAATATAAAGCCAGTTATACAGAATTGGCTGTAGCTGTGCCACACTGTGTTCTGGTCTGCAGTCTGGACATGTGCTCATCTATTTTGACCACTAGGGGGATACAAGCCTTAGTTAGCAATGGCATGATACATTTTAATTTGATTATTCAATGTCTTTTTTTTAATATAAATGTTATAATATTAAAAAAAGACATTGAATAATGAAATTTAATATTTATCATGCCATTGCTAACTAAGGCTTGTATCCCCCTAGTGGGGAAAATAGATTACCACATGTCCAGACTCCAGAACAGTGTATTATTGTATAGTGTGGAACAGCTGTATCCAATTCTGCATACCTGGCTTTATATTATAAAGTTCTTATAATATAAAGCCAGGTATGCAGAATTGGATATAGCTGTGCCACACTACAGAGTGTTCATGTTCTTCATAATATTAAGAAACTGACCTAAAATCATGATTTTGTATTGCTTTAGAAAAAATGTGACCTGTCCTTTTAAGAAAAAGTATTGGTAATTGGTATTGGCGAGTACTTGAAAAAAAGTATCGGTACTCGTACTCGGCCTTAAAAAAGTGGTATCGGTGCATCCCTACAGTACATATATTTTTAAGAATAGATTTTTCATGATGTATATGATATATATGCATTTTTGCCATTCACTTCAGTTGGCTTGCTTTAAGTGCACCTGTGCACAGACGATGGACATTAAAGTATTTATATTTCTTAGAGTGTATCTGTAGGCCAATGTTTAAAAAAATGTTTTTTTTGGATAAAGGGGTCAGGGTGTTTAAAACCCTGTCAGGTTTTTATTGCTGTCTATGTACCTGTTTAATAGAACTATCCTTTCTATTTGTCCTGGTGACCTTTGTCATTGGAGCTCAAAGTGAGGGAAAATACATAATTATAGGATATCACCAGAACAGAGCACAAGGGGGAAATCTTTCAGTAGGGATATGTTAGTCTATGTCCTCCCATGAACTTAAAAAAAACAATGGGATAAAAAGTTTACCCTATAGTCCTCTTTTTAGTCTGCGTTGGTTTGCTTACAGCACTTGGTGTTTGTTTAGTTTAGAAGACTGGCAGATTGCCAGGTTCCTGCTGTCAGAGAAAAAAGGGAAGATGAGGTATCATTTCAGTGACTTTTAGTGTGGACTTTTATATATTAATTTCTCCACTGTGGCTACAGGGGTCAGTAAGGGTTGGTCTAAAAGGCAATGTATTGCTTGTTAAGAATATGTAAATGCTTTACTATCCACAGTCTGGGCATAGGTGCACTTTAATGCATTTATATACATATAGATGCTGCATGACCAACTGTTAGGATCCAGAGCGCCTCCAGGTGGCGCTGGAGCTAAGCCCTGCAGTTCCTGGGCTCACCTGCAGGATTCTCTAGGCATCCAGGAACTGCTAGGCACCAGACCACCACTGGGTGGTGCTGGGACCTGCTGCTCCAGTGCTCACCTGTGGGTGTTTCTCAGCTGCCAGTACTTAGCCATCACCTGGTGCTTCCTGGGAGGATATGTAAACCCTCCCTGCAGTCAGGATGATGGCTCAGTATTCTTTCCTGTGAGTCCTGATCCCAGTCCTGAAACTTGAACCCAGATTGTTTCCTGTGAGTCCTGAAACCTGTTTGAACCTTGTTACCTGTGATTCCTGAACCCTGTTTGAACATTGTAACCTGCGAGTCTTAAACCCTGTTTGAACCTTGTTATCTGTGAGCCCTGTTGTTGGTTGTTGCTGTTAGTCTGCTGTGTATATTAAACAACCTATACATATATCACATACTTGCCTGGTCCGTGTGGTCACACGTGTTTGGTCTGCCTGTGTGGGTACCTGCGCAGGTGTGGGGTCACCTGTGCCGGTGTCCGTGACACCAACTTAAAAAATAAAATACACTATGGTACAGCCTATAGATTAGTCACAAAGTATAGAATGATTTACTACTTTAAATGCATTTTTGTGCAGTAGGAAAACAGACATATGAAAAGGTTCCTAAGGGCAATAAAACAGAGAAGCCAAAAATAATCTTTTCTAGGGTCCTGTGTGTAGACCAAGGAAAAATGCCCTGCTCCGAAGTCTCTGGCAAAAGAGAGAAATGTACTGACTTCTCTGCATAGCAGAACCTTATCAACACTGTTTTAGACATCAACATTTACATTACAGAAAACAAAACATAGTTATCTCCAACTAACAGACAAGTTCACCAAAATATAATAAATAAAATAGGAGTATCTGCTCACCAAATCCAGGTTTAAGTTGTGAAGTTGAACATGAAGACATTTGTGGATCAAAATGCTTACTCTTTTGGAATAGCTATAAAAAGTGAAATTGTAATGATGCGTTTGGAAAGGTTTTTAGGGTAAGAATGCTATGTTGCTTGCTTGTTACACTTTTCACATTTGATCACTGTAAGAATTCTCAATGTTATATAATCTTGGAGTATGTGGTGACAATTTTTTTTTTACTATATTTTTTCTTGTCAACACATGAGCTGAGTGCCTCACTGCTACTTCCTCTCACACTCCAGCCCTGCTGTACAGGGGCTGAAAGAGGCTGATAGTAGGTCAAATTCAGGTACTGACACTGGTTGGATTTAAAAATATTAATGTATAAATGATTGCAGAGCTGCATTGATTTGTGTCTTTTATATTTGTATAGAGTTCAGATGTAAGATATCACAAATCAAATCTATGGAATGCCTTTTGAATGACTAATTTTGACCTTTCTATTTCTTCAGTGGGATCTGTATGTTGCAGCTATGCTGGTCGCCATACCAACTGCCGGGAGTACTGTCAAGCTATTTTTCGCACAGATTCATCACCAGGGCCATCACAGATCAAAGCAGTGGAGAACTTCTGTGCTTCAGTCAGTCCTCAGTTAGTGCAGTGTGTGAACAACTACACGCAGTCTTATCCAATGAGAAACCCTATCGACAGTAAGTTGGTTGTTACATAGTTACATAGTATTTGAGGTTTGAATAAAGACACAGGTCCATCAAGTTCAGCCCATTGCGTGTATGCATGTGACTCTGCATGTGTATGAGTCCCTGTGTGTTCTTGTTCTTAAGAGTACATGTACCCCTGAATGTTACGGTCTCTGACTAAATCGTCTAAGTGCTTTTTTGAAAGATGCAATACTCGCAGCTGACCGCTCTAACTGTGAAGAAGCCCCTTCGCCCCTTGTGCTGAAATCTTTTCTCCACCAGTTTTTGGTGGTGGCCTCTAGTCTTTGTTATGGAGTTTACTGTAAAAAGTTTATTACTGATGTTGCTATCCCCATTGAACATCTTGTACATCAAAATCATATCCCCCCTTAATCTCCTCACTTCCAGCGTGAACATATTTAAATTTAGTAACCTTGTCTCATAGCTTTGGACAGCTCAAGGACATCCTTTCTGTGTATTGGTGACCAAAACTGGACCGCATACTCCAGATGAGGTCAAGCTAGCGATCTATAAAGTGGTAAAATTATAGACTTGTCTCTACAGTAAATTCCCTTTTTAATAGAAGCCAGAACTCTGCTTGCTTTGTTTGCAGCAGCCTGGCATTGCAAGCTATTATTCAATCTGTGGTCTACTATGACCCCCAGGTCTTTTTCCATTTCTGACTTCCCTAGAGGAGAACCCATTAATGTGTATTCCGTTTGCCTGTTTTTAACCCCAAAGTGCATTACTTTACATTTATCGACATTAAACCTCATCTGCCATATAGTTGCTCACTCCCCTATTTTATTCAGATCCTCCTGTAATGTTCTACTGTCTAAGTTCATTTCTATTACCCTTCTCTCATAGAACTTTTTCACAAATATCCCTACTGGAAGATTTCCCCTTGTGCTCTGTTCTGGTGATATCCTATAATTTTGTATTTTCCCTCACTTTGAGCTCCAATGACAATGGTCACCAGGACAGATAGAAAGGATAATTCTCTTAAACAGGTACATGGACAGCAATAAAAACCTGACAGGGTTTCCAACCCCCTGACCCCTTTATCCAAAACTATTTTTTTTAAAAACATTGGCCTACAGATACACTCTAAGCCTGGGTTCACACCTGGGCGTTACTAGAGGCGTGTTTTTGGCACGTTTTTTAGTTCAGTGAAACGCGCGTTCGACGATCATTTTTATACCTCCCTGGCGGTATGATTTATTTTTTTTCCTTTTATTTTCTCTATCTTTCGGTTTTTTTTCCTTAACTTCAAACTTTCCGCCGGTTCCGCCCCCTGCGACGCGGACGCTCACAAGGGACGGAACCCGGAAGCAGCCGGAGGACACAGCCGGGATCGCAGACAAGGTAAGACCTACGCTGTATTCTCGAGTGTGGCTCGGAGTTACCGCTTTGTTAAACCCCCGAGCCACACTCGGGAATACCAATGGATACATGCAGAAATACGCCCCCAAAAGAAGCTCCTTTACTTGTTTGGGCGTAGGGCGTTTTTCAGTGCGTTTCCACGCGCTGAAATACGCCCAGGTGGGAACCATGCCCATAGGAAATGATGGAATTTCACTTGCTGAGCGTTTTGCAGCGTTTCGATCCAAAAACCTAGCTCACCGAAGTCAGTATCTGAGGCAAGATCTTGCATAGAAGGCCAAATAGATTTGCGCTTAAAACTTACCGGTACCACGCAACTGAGAGAATGGCACATCTTATACACAAGAAGAAGAGAACTCAGGATGACCTATTACTGGATACAAAGGAGATGGCAAAATAGATAATCTTTTACTCTAAGATAGCTCTAGCCACCTGCCAAGTAGGTCCGGCCATTGGGTGGGATCTAAGCTCTATAGGTATAGAACAATCTCGCCAAGGTAGAGTCGGGAGAGGAATCGTGGAAAATGTCTGTTTTTGAGAAATCCAGTGCTCCACCCCCTCGTGGTGGCACCAATCCAGTATCCTGGATAAGTGAGAAGCCATATAATAAAAGTGTACATCGGGGAGGGCCAGGACACCCGAGACTTTAGGCCGCTGTAAAATCAAATGCCTGAGTCACTGGACCCTACTAGACCAACTTAAAGTTTGGTAATAGTGGCCTGCGAAGAATAAACAAGGAGTAAGGATGGGGAGAGCCTGGAACGGTTATAAGAAATGTTTTGTTTAAGGTTACACCTCCCTGTCCAGGAGAAGGCTAGACACAACCAATTCTGTAAGTCAGACTTAACCTTTTTGAAGTAACGGAGGAAATAGTAAATCATCCGCATAGGCGGCAACCTTTTCCTGCTGCTGGCCCACAAAAATCCCTCGGATATCAGAATCAGACTTACGATAAGATAAGCACTTGCTCAGAGCCCTATTTGAACAAAAGTCCTGGCGCGTTGTTGGTGAACGAAATGTAGCCAGCGTCGCTTTGGCCTTATCCGGGCATAGCCATCGTACCAAGTTGTGCAAAGAAATTAGTTTAGAGAATAAATGGGGATCCAGATGTTGTTTAAGTCTGCAGAGAATGGATCTGCGAGAGCAGGGAAGATAATTGTTGAACTGAACCGTTGTTGTTTAAATTGTGTACCGAGTTTGATTAAAGTGCCCCTGATACAAGTCTCCCATACTAAATAAGGGGCACTATCAGATGCTACGTTTAACTCAAAGTAAGTCAGCAGATCCCTTTCAACCCCCACAGAAACCACTGGATCACGTAACAATCATTTAAATGCCATTGCCATGAGTGCAGCATCGGGTACCCCACATCTAACGAGAGAAGCACAGGCGCATGGTCCAAATAATTAATGTTTCCTATCCCAGAGCGCACAGTAAGAGAAAGGGCGCTGTGATGTATTAGAAAAAATCTACATGTGTGTACACCCCATGTGAGGTGGAGAAGGAAGAATAGTTCTTAACTGTGGGGTTACGCCAAACATCAATCATTTGGTGCTGGTGTACACATTTCTTGAGGCGCTTCAAGGCAGCAAAAGAAAGGTGGAACTGGAGGAATCAAGAAATAGATTGAAGTCCCCTCCCAACAATAAAAGACCCTCTTTAAAGTCCTCTATCAAAGGAAGGATACGTTCGAAGAAGAAATTTTGTCCCTCATTAGGAACGTATGCATTTGCAAGCATCACTTTCTGATTTTGTAAGACTCTCTTCACCATTAAGAGGTGCCCATCCTCCCCTGCATAGACATCAATCAACTGCCAAAGTAGTGTATTGGCGAGAAGGATGCAGATCCCTCTGAATTTCTGTGGATATCGTCTGTTGGGACACAGCGGTGCCTTACCGTCCTGAAAATTAGTTTCCTGGAGGAACCCTACTTGAATTCCCTGATGATGCAAGTCTGTGAGTACCATTTTACGTCTCTCAGGCTCCGCACATTCAGGGAATGTATCTTGAGCGACGACATGATGGGAGAGTCCACAGGCCTAGGGAGGGGCGAGAAGAGGAGAGAAAGGAAAAAAAAAACCAGAAAGAGGTACAAAAGAAGAAAAGAGAAACAGAAGAACAGAGAAGGCAAATTCAAGAACTGTACAACAAAAACATCAAGACCAGCTTAAAATAAATGGTGAACCTAAATTCAAGCACCCGAGTGTGAAGAAAAACACAGTGGGGTTGATCTATTGGGGAAGAAGTCTGAACAGGCTTGAGTACAAGCTTCGTGGCATCAATTATATAGGTAAGAAGAACACATACCACATCAACAGACCTCCCTCCATCCAGATCTCTACTTATCCCCTCATAAAAAGTCAGTAGGTTAGTCTGTATACACTGTATACACATAACTATGGAACCACACGGCAAGTGCCCAGAGAAGAGTTGTGTGGCACCGCAGAGACCAAAACCAATACCCCATCTAAGAGGACCCGAAAGGGGGAAAAGAGGTAAATAACAGTGCACATGGCCCCCGCTTCGCAATGTCACACATGGAAAGAGGGCCCCTGGGCCTCTCAGGAAAAAGTGCTAGGTGTCAAGACATTAATATAACAATAACCTAGAGTATTATCGCACAAAATGGATCACGTGCAAAAGAAGGAATCCAACCCAAACTATACTACTATATACTATACTACTGCCAAAAGTAAAGTATACAACAGTCCTAGAGAATAGATGGCTAGATTCCATAACTAGCAACATGAGACTACGCAGCTAAATAAGCACATGGTGTGATAGCCTCTTCTACTAACTAGGACCCCATATCAAATAGACACTTGTGGCAGAGAAGTCGGTTCCAGATGTTCGGGCTGAAGAGAAAGAATAAAGACATAACGGACATCTTGCAGGTCAGAGACAGGAACAGGACCACTCAGTAGGTCCCTCAGCTGCAGAAGAGAATAGATGCATTTCCTTAGGTGAGTGTCCATATTCGGTCACTGCTCAGGAGCACTGCGGTTCTTCAGGGCAGGACAATCCCAAGAAGTAGTGGACTGAGATCTTTATGGTCGACTGGAGTGGGTCGGTTTCAGTGCAGTGGCATCCTCTTTAGCAAAAAACTCAGCCAGTCAGGCACTGATACAGGTGAAATGTGATGGAAGGCACAAAGGTCTGTAACGTCCTGAAGGGTCCTGACCGTGTATGATGTACCATGCTTTCTGTGAATAGGATATCCCCATCGATATGAGGCACCACTGTGAAAGATAGCATCCAGTAGAGGACGTAATCACACAGCGCCGTAAGGTATTGCAGGATAAGTGCGAGATTCGAGCGCCATCTAAATCAAGCTTCTTTTTTTGACAGGCTTTATGCAAAATCTCCTTCACCGTAAAATAGTGAACCCGGCACAAAACGTCTCATGGCCGAGACTGATCAGCAGGTGTACTCTGTCCAGCATAATATCTGCAGGGCTTTATCCTCCAAGCGAGTGCCCAGGCACAGCCATGACCTTGCACATATGGGTGCCTCCACAGCAGTCGGCTAGCTGATGGAGGCACCCGGATGGGGAGGGGGTGTGACGACATGGTGATCAGTTCATAAGTTAAATGTGTATTGGTGTTGGGTTATGTTTGAGTGCGTTATGC